AGAATTTGAGTTAATAACTACTAATAAGACATTTGATGAATAGAAAATGATTTGGCTTTTTGTCTACTGGGTCAATTTATTTTCAACTTCAAGCGGTTTTGATCAGAGAAAAGAATTTAAGTTTTCCTACGCTTATAACATTGACGCCCTCTGAATCATGTTAAACTTGCAGTTGTAGCTCTTCTTAATAGATAATTAAATACCCAGCCACTTAACTAAGAAGAGTTTCAACCATGGCGACTAGATAACAAATATGTACAAACACATGTCATGTAAATATACATGAATCTGTTGCAAATGTTGGTCGTCAAGAATTATCCTTTGCGGGATTCGAATCCACGACAGCAGGCTTTGTAGTTCCGAGTGTAAGCCACAAGACATTTGTTGCTGAATATATTAGTAATTTTGTCAAAATCCTGACGCCCGTATTCACAGACATTACTATAAGGTCTCACTGTGCGCGTGGACGCACAGGGTCACACACGAACCAATCACAGAGCTCTATTCAACGCTGTGCGTTCGATTTGCTGCTTCATTTAAACAAGCATCGTTTGTGAATACGGGTGTAAATGCCTTTGGTGCTTCCACTGCAAACACTAATTCAATTGAATGTATTGAATATGGCACATTAAGCTAGATATTATGACGCCTTAAGCAGTTGATATAGGATAGGTGTCATTTTCCAACAAAAATGTATAGCCTACAGCCGTGACCCTACGCCTGAAGGCAGTACGGTCGAGCACGCGAATGACAATCGATACCTACACTCGATTACAAACTAAATCGGATTGACGTCAGTTCCGATGAAACCGATCAAATATTTATTTCAAGCTCCGAAGGATCGTCATGCATATGATATATGCCATAGATTGCCCATAATAGATATGGCATTATGTTGGCCTTTGGAAGAATTAAAGATAATATTGTGTGCTATAAAGGTTAGGTTTAAAGAATATTTTGTTTTTCTCATTAAAACCATACAGTCACTAAGTGCATACAAAACAATAACTAAGTGTATTTTGTTTTCAATGAATAAATAATACAAAATAACTTTAACCCGAATGACATTTACAAATATTTAAGTATTTAATATTGGATTTGAGGGACTTTTTTGGAATAATGCATATTAACTTGAATATTCCGTGTTAATTCTAATCTGTAAGAAACTAACAGTGTTAAATATGCCTAAATTATTACCAATTATAATTATTAACTTTATAATCGTAGACTAGATTTCCTAAAAAACTAAATAACAGTATCATGTACTCGTTAAATAGTGCTAGTTTGATTAATAAGTAAATTAATAAAATATGTAACAAGCTTTAGTAGCTATTTACTTATTACAGTCTAACATGTATTGTATTTACCTACACTTCATTAAATTTCTTATAGACGGAGTTCTTGTTTATTTTATACTAGCTTTAGAGCGCGGCTTCGATCACGTTAACTTTGGATTCCCGTTTTAACCCCTTAGGGTGGATTCGACCAAACAAGAGTAAATATTAATCTCAGAATAAATCGTCAGTTTTGACATATTTCCCATATGTACAAAAACTGTCAATGTGCCAGTTATACCAGGAGTTATTCTCGGATAAAAGTTTGGTCGAATCGGGCCTTAGAGGGTGAATTTTGGAAAATCCTTTCTAAAGGTCATACATGACAATGTTCAAGTCAAATTCTAGCACAACTCCGGTTGCATTTTACTAAAAATTAACTTTCTGATGATAATCAAGAGCATACTCAAACTTTGTGATTGTTGGAAGAATATTACTCTACGAGTATAAAATGAAATCAAGAATAATGTTTTTCGTGTTCATTCGTTCACAAAGCTAACTGAAAGTGAATTCCACTGTTAGCTGTAAAACTAAAAATTATAAATTAAATTGAATATAAAGCATAAATATAACGAGCGCTGCTCGAATCGTGCTGCACGCGATAGTCAGCCTTATCGACGGTGATACCAATAATAATGCGATTGCATTGTCCTTGCTTTGAACAAATTGTCATCAACCGCCCTGTTAAGGCATAAATTACAATATTTTTATTACCGTTGAAAACTTGTCTTTAATTTGATACGTCATTCTTTAGCTTAAAGAATAGAAGTATAAAAAATCTCTGGAGAAACGTCCGAACGTTCCTTTTTCATCCACAAGCTTTGTAAGGATTTAATTCAAGATTAAGGATCCCCGCAGACTGCAAAGACTTAAGGCGACCAAACTATCGGCCGACTATAAGTCTGCAGGGGGTCTTAAAGTTTCAAATCAATTGTAACGACTAAAAGTGTCTGGTAAGCAACAAATTTCATGTAACACGTTTCAACGACACCCCTACTTATATCAACACCCGTCATTCTGAACCGTTTATCAACTAAAAATCAGCCGAACAAATACAAACAGAAACTGAACCAAAAATACCGTCTTCCAATCTCAAACAGATTACAATTTTTTCACACTGGCAATCCCAAATCACTCGATAACAATGGAGCTATCGATACATCGGATCACGCGGTACTGGCCGGGGCGCGTCGTCTGAAGGGGCGCCGCTATAAAAAGATCGCCAGCGAGGCGTTATGTTGTTAGCAAGGGATGCGTTTCGCCGCCGGCCAGCCGTGAAGAACGCTACGTGAGCGTGTTAACCCAGATACCTAGGTGTAGGCGGTCCGCACACGCAGCAGTTTGTGGCTGTTTTGTGGGACACTGATAAAAATTAGAGTGGCTCGTGCTCCTGCAGTTAAGACTTAACGACTTGAGGGATGTGTTTTGCCGCCGGCGAGCCGTGAAAAAAGCTACGTGTTGTGTAAAACACGAAACAAATTAAAGTCCTCTTCTAGTAGGAGCACGACTACGTGAGCGCTTTACTCCAGATACCTAGGTGTACGTTCGTCTTAGCAGTTTCTGACTGTTAGGGGTACGCAACAAATAGCAGTAATCTCCTCATCATCAGATCAGAATTCAGAGGCAGAAGGAGGAATTGGCTTACCCACGGCACGCTGGCAAAATAGGTTTGGAAGGTCTTATGTTCCCATATTTGTCACTTATCTATCACTCAAACAAGAGAGGAATGCGATCAAGTAAAATCGGCACTCATCTTCTTAGCACATCTCAGGTGGAAACGCAGCCTAACGTTTCAAGTTGCTACGGATGCGTACGGCCTAGTGACACACGCGTCACGGGCATGTAAGGTTAGCTGATTGGTTACTGTTTATTAGTTTCCAATAGGTTATTTTAAAAAATAAACAACAGATAGCCACAATGGTGTCAGTGTCGGACTGGATGCATCGAGAAGGGAGGAACGCGGGTTCAAACCCTGGACCATTGTGGTGATCGCTCTCGTAACACAATCATCGATTCACAAATTTTATACTATGTAGTGACATAGTATAAAACAAAGTAGCTTTCCGCTGTCTATCCCTACGTATGCTTAGATCTTTAGAACGACGCAACGGGTTTTGATGCGGTTTTTTTTAAATAAGTAGATAGAGTTACTCAAGAGGAAGGACAAATCATGCATATTATAGAAAAGCCGGGAAATTCTATTGCAACCACGCGAAGCCGGGGCGGGCCGCTAGTATCTCACCTTACCACAAAGGGTTACTAAAAAATTGCCTAACGATGTCAGTGTCCTGTCGAATTTGAATTCGAGGAACGCTAATTCTATCTCTGTCGATTGCTAGACTATTGTGGTGTATTTAGCTTATTTCGAAAGGTCACGAGGATAAAAAAGCTAGTTTCAGAAGCCTAAACGGGACTATTCCCAACTCTCGTTCCCACCACTGCAACTCCTGTGTAGCCAGGATCTACAGCTTGACCGCCAACCAATGAAGGTCAAGTTTGTCCCGGGGAAAGTTAAACTGTCATTGGACCCGCAACGAAATTAATCAGAAGAACATAGGAGGAGTTCCAAATTAAGGTTTGACTTCCCTCCATTGCAAAGCGGATGACAGGTGACAAACAAAGGTTTAAAACCTTTAAGAAAAGATTATGCACCACGGACAATAAATATCAATTAAGGGGGCCTATCTTATGAGCAATTTTCAGAAGCCTAAGTACATAATTCAAACGGCAAGCAATAAAAAAATCCAATCCAATTCAGATGTAATACGTAGCGAATCAAAGCAAATCACTGTACATATATGCCAAATGATACGCTGACAGCCAATGATATTGCGATCGAAAGTGCTGATAAGCACCCGATGAAATTGATATCATCTGTGCTCAACTAAAGTAACTGTTTATTAATAACTTGTTTACAAGTAACAAACAATTTTATACAGAATGGCGAAGTCGTCGTTCATTGGTATTTAATAGTGGGGTTAAATATTTTACGAAATATGAATTAAGCCTAAGCGCAGACTACCGACTTAGGTGGCCGACAGTTGGGTACGGCTGTTGATCAGTATGGAAATGTATAACCGCCTCTGTGGTCTAGTAGTAAAACCACCTGCTTCAGACGCAGAGGTCCCGGGTTCGATTCCCAGTGGGTGCAGATTTTTCTGTTCGGTTTGATTGGTGGTAGGGCTCGTTCTAAGTCCGCCTTGCTAGCTACCACCATCTTACCTAAGTCTGTCGCCATAACAACTATGTCAACAGCATTGTTGTGTTTCGGCGGTTAGAGGTAAAATAGCCAGTTCCTCCGTGGTTGAGGATTTTGGGTGAAGCTCGCTTCCACCTTTGGCCTGGCCTGATCATCACTTACCATCAGGTGAGATACAGGCCAAGAGCTTCCTCGTTGTGGATAAAAAAAAATGAAAGTGCGCACACTACACCGATTTGGTATCGGCCGATTCTTCATATAAATTAGAATAGGGCCCAACTATCGGCCAACTAAAAGTCGTTGGTCTACGCCTAGACTTAAAATCATTTAAAGTATGTTAGTTCATAATTTATCCACCGACGCTCGACTATTGTTGTGACCCACTCGTAATACAAGCATAATATTTAGCTTACCACGAGGGGTTAACGGGAAAATTCAAAAAATGGGAATAAAAATCATAAAGATTCTCTTAACTAGTTACATTACTTACCGATACCATCATAAACCATACTAAAATGGTACACTTTACTGCAATTACTTCGTAGCGAGTGCAGATAGATCCTTACCTGTAACAAAATAAATACCAAATTAGTAAATCCATATTAGATACAAAATTAAACATACATTCTAAAAACAGCCCAGCACGCAATACACCTATCGTCAACAAAATAATAATTTAATGATTAAGTTTCACTGCACAGTGTATGCTTGTACATAGACTTATTTTATTAGTCGTTATTTGTGAAAATAAACATAATTCGTACCGATGAGATTCATTTTTGTCGCAAAATAGCAAATTTACTTCGCATAATACAATTAACCCTCAATAGTGCTCTGGCGAATACAATTTCCACCATAAATTGAACCTTACCTACTAATAATTAGATCGAAAATCAATGAAAGTTTTCAGCATGCCTTTAGGTGGGTTAAACGGATTACACTGATTTGCAAAAAAAAAGGTCAGTTAGAAAATGTTTTATAGAACATATAACAAAAGCCTGATCTCGCTTTATGAATTCAAACTGTTTATTTTTAATTCATATAAAATAGCGTAATTTTTCTACCATGTTTTTTTTCATAAAGTTAGGTCAAGTAGGTACTTTTGAAGATATAGAACATTTTCTGACCGATTCTTTTTCTTTGAGTATAGGTAAAAAAAATTCGTAAACCGAGTGACTGTGCCACTCATCAATCCTATAGGTACGTCACAAATATAAATTACATCTTTTTCCTCAACACCAAGTCTAATAATATCCAAACCGCCAATCACAGCAGATCGCACCCGCCGGGATATAACAAGGAAATGAACGGGAAACGGGAAAAAATTGCCGGGAAATACCGGGCCTCTTTAATAAGCCAACACTATGGTTTGATGAGAGATTTCAGCTGGGATTTGGTGAAATATCTTGTCATTGATATCTTGTGGTTTTAATCTTTTTATAAAATAGCAAACTACATTTTTTTAAAGTCGTATCCATATAGACTTAGTTTGTGGTATGTAAGTGTTGCAAAAGACTTGCAAGCTTGAAATATGACTAAAGAAATATTTATTTCTATAATGAATTGAAATTTTCAGATACATTTAATTTAAAACCCAACTCATTCTGTACTTTCATCTATTATTACTTAGAATTTACAGCCCGATCTAGACAATACAACCGAATATATTGAAAACTTGAAAAGGCAATCGATTCGGTTCGGATCCGACTCGGTGGCGATTAAACTAAAACAATGGGTTTGAGTTATTTGAAACTCAATTGAAACGCCCGTGGCACATTATAGAAGCGAGCGAGTTTTGGATTGTTTAGTTGGAATGCTATTGAAATATATTTCATCATTATTTTGTACATTATTGTTCTAAAATCTAAATGAAATAAAATCTATCGCCTGCTTCGCTCCCAGCTTAATTTCAACCAAAGTCGTCGAGGCTGTTTTACGGTTTGAATAATTACATTTTCAGCTCCACAATTTTATTATTATCATTGACCAATTTTTGACCATTGACTGTCTTTCAGGACAGCGACTTTTTTTCTAATACGCATCGATCCGAGGGAGTCTGTGCGACGTCACCAAAAATCGTAGACAAGAATAATGCCCGTACTCACTCCGTACACAGTCCGTAACATTACTATGAGGTCTCCCAGTGCGCGTGGACGCACAGGGTGACACACGAACCAATCACAGAGCTCTATTCAATGCTGTGCGTTCGATTTGCTGCTTCACATGAGCAAGTATCATTTGTGAATACGGGCGGAAGTGTAGGCACAATTTTAATCAGGTAGCTATTATTAATAAAATTATTAAAAAATATAAATTTTCTCGCGTTTTCGTGTACCCTGCTTACAGCGCTGAATGGGTACCAGCAGTCACGCGCGACCGGGCCTGGTGAAATTCGTCTGTCTCCGTGACACTTTCGATCCGATGGAGTTTGTGTGACGTCAGCACAAATCGTAGACAAGAATAACTTTATATACCACTATTATTTTCTCATGACGTAGGGTAATTCAGGGTTGAAACACAAACTGTTTAATGTGTAACACACAAACTGAATGCTTTTGCCTCTTTTCGAATGTTTTATTTTCATTGCGAATTCGTCTCTATTATTAATACTAATATTTACGTAAGATATTATTATTGACGGGACTGTTCTTACATCATAATGGTGATTATGGCGCTTACAACAGTGCCAAAATATCGGAAACTCGAAATTAAGGTACATTGGTAGCAATCTCGTAAATGGGTAGTTCTACTCACGGTGGAATTATTTAGGACCATAAAATGAATCTCCAGTTTTTGTTAGTAATCAGTATAAACAGTGACTAAAGACCGATAATATACTACAACATATCCAATTTTTAACGGGCCAGACAAAATTATGATAAATATTGATTTTATAGCGGTTTTTCTATTTTCGATGGACAGGGAAGTGAGAACATATACAGGATAGTGAAAATTTAACTGAAAGATGCATTTGAGTTTATAGTCTTTACTCTAAAAATAATAAAAAATACTTTTATGTGCATCATAAAGGTCCACTATCAATTGAACATGGAACTCATTTAGGTTGCTTCTTTTTCCGTCACCTGATCTCTTTGACTTTTCCCTACTATTCGTATCTCCTTTTATTATCTTCCTCTTCTTTCCTCGACGCTTTTCTTCGACTGGAAACGATTCGTTAGTATCTATTTTCGGCATCTCCAGCAATCCATCAGGATCATCAATGTTCATTCAGTCCCAGTACACTCATAAGGTCAACCAAGTCTGATGAATCAAAATACTGGTGTTGCAGGCATTACTGGTCTCAGTTTCAGACTCAGTTTAAGCGTCATCAACATTTGCTTTCATGGAAGAATATTTTACGATGCCTATTTGGAAGTGTTCGCACACGTTACTGCAAAAACAGCTAAAAGTTTGTATAGAGTCAAGCAAGTCAAAATGGAGTATCCAGTTTCAATGGAGTGTATGCATTTGCCTGCACTTAGTGTATTTGTAAAATGCCTTTATATGGCAGTAAGTTTTATGTATTTTGCCAAAATCATGAATTATATAAACTTCATATCAAATTTAATATTATCAGTCAATGGACGCAAGCGAGTTTGACAATATTGTTTCATAATTGCCCTAAAATAATATAAAATACTGTTATAAATACGTAACAGATGAGTGAGAAGTTGTCTGGCCCAGACACGACAGACGATGATAACAGCGTAGCTGTGTCTAACTGACTGACGATTTGGGCGAAATAAACGTTTCACTAGGCGAACTTAACTGCATACTTAAATACATAAGAACGACAACGTGGCTTACCCTTTGTTTTGTTACAGATTTTAACGTGTTTATAGGTGGCAGGGAAGTGATACTTAATTCGTGTCGCCTTTGTTCAGCAATCAAAAAATTATGTAAATAGGGAATTCAAACATAATCCATATAGGTTAAATGAAAGATACACTAATGGTTACTTTCAATACAATGTTATTTTTGACTAATTATATTTTTATATATTTTTTATTGTGATTTACATCATGAATTCTGGAATGTCACCCCACAGGGAAATGAGAATTTTTCCCATTTGAAGCCATTTTTGTCTGGGATGTTTTTATTAAAACGTGTTGAAATTCAGTGACCAAGTACTATGTGAGTTAAACTTTATTAATACCCTAAAACGAAAACTATTGATTGGTAATTTAAGGAGCTGCAAGTTGAGCCCCGTAAAATTCCCTGATTTGTAGAACTACCCAAATAATAATCATTAATGTTAGTGACCATGAAAGTTAAAAAGAATATATTTAAGATACCACATTATAACCCTTTTTCCCGTCTCCAAACAACAACCCATTTCACAAAGTAGGTACATCCCTTGACAAATGTCATAGACAATGTAAACCTACAATTCTAGCACCAACACAGTCTCTAAATGAATAAGCAAACCGATGCAATCAGCGGAGAGCCGGAGCTTTCTTCGCTTGAAAGCTGTACGTCGCGGGAAGCTCGTAACCTAAAATTGCATCCTACACACATGTAGTGTTGCCAGGGCTTCTGGGTAAAGACGGACACAGTCAGGCTTTTTGGTAGAATAATCGACCAAAATTAGTTGGTGTCCGGCCCGTCCGGATTAAATTACACGGCGTCTGGCCTGTCCGGTCAAAATTTTATGGTGTCTGGGCTGTCCAGCCAAAATTGGATGCCGTCTAACCTGTCCGGCAAAAAATAGATAGTGTCCGGGCAAATATACATGGTGTCCGGTCAAAAATTAGATTGTGTCCGGCCTACCCAGCTAAAATTAGATAGCGTCTGGCCTGCCCAAGCAAAATTAGATGATGTCCGGCTTATACACTTTTCCCTCCTAACTTTATATCGCCTTTAACTATTCGCCTTAACTTTATCTCTGTCTCTACCCACTTCGGCGTTTTTACCCAAAACTCCAGCCATTCGGTTTCAAGACCTGGCAACACTACCCACATGCCTAGTAACCTGGCAAATCTTCAAATTCGAATTTGAATCCGCTTTGCCCTCCTAACTTTTTATCTAACGCAAGTCAGCGTAAAGAATCTCTACATTCCCGCCCCACCCTACCCGCTTCGAATTTTTTACCCCAAAGTCCGGCTTTTCGGTTTCAAAACCTGGCAACCCTACATGCCTAGTAATAAACCTGGTGGCCGACTCCCCGGGGTGGTAAAGCGCGGGAAGTGCATTTACCCGGAGTGTCCTTCAGCTAACATTTACAGGCGTGGCGTTTTATGAGACACTTTAAAGTTTGCCCCAAATGTGGGGGGATTAGGACGATTTGTAAACGGAAAGACTTTTAAACTCAGGAAGAAAAGTAAGGAAATAAATTGAGAAATGGTAAGACATTGAACAAAGTCTTAAGGCGTATGACAAACAAGGTCCACTGTTCAGTAAATAAAACTAACTACCTTTAAGTTAGTGCAGTATAAATCAATTCATTAGAGTAAAGCAAAGAAAGGAAGAAGAAAGATCATGCCCAAGATTAAATAAAACAATTGGTCTATAATCTAAATGGAAATCATATCAGTAAATCTACGAACGAATTAGCTCCATTGTTCAG